TCTGCTTGAAGGGCAGTTTCCGAAATGGGAAATTTAGCAATTTAGCATATTCCATTATCGTTTTGTAGGCAAGATTTTGTCACAATTTGGTCCGATACATATTTGACTGAATCATCAGTGTAATTTTGCACACGAAATATTCGAAATCACTGACATTTAGTTGAAAATGTACTGTTTCGTTTTGAACATTAAGGACGCATTCAACATGTGAATGTCCAAAGTTTCATAAGACCTTGTGTCTGATAGTGTTTATTCATTTATATTTTACAGATAACCATGGAAACAGTGGCAAAGATGTCGCCAGACCATGGAGAACTGGCAAAGTATTTATGTTTGGGGGATCAGATAGATCTTCTTGAATTTTGTAAAATAAATTCTGAAAAAGAGATAGAAAAACCAGTCAAAAATACACGAAATAAAAATGCAACAAGGACTCAGATAGTTGAGCTTGTATGGATCCATAACGATGTAAAGGTAAAAGGATGCCTAGGTGGGGGCACAAGAAAATTGACTGTTATAAAGACCTGCACGAAAGCTGATCTGCTAGAGGAAGCAAAAAAAATATATTTTCCGGATGGCATTTCAAGCAGGAATGTTAAGGCTGAGGATTGCACATTCTGTTTACGAGACTTTACGCAAAAGCCCCTTAAAGATGGAATGACAGTTGGAAAATTTTCAGATTCTGTAAAAATAACTGGCAGATTGAGGTTCCACATGCATTCAACTGGTCCCCCAATGCTAGATTCGAATAAACATGAGCAAGTTACACATCGATCAGCAGCAGCAACAACGTACAAACCTAAAAAAACATTGTCCGGGCGTAAAAGAAAACATGCTGATCCTCCAACAACCGTGGCTTCTTCTACTGATCGTATTGGTGAACCTGTCTCCCAACCAGAAATTAGGTCTGAGCAACAACATACAAATACGCCAATGCCGCCTGATCCGCTATCTGCAAATCCTGTGCTACCTGGGCCGCAACCTTCAACCGCAATCCAGTCTGAACAGCAATCTACAAATACGATCCAGCCTGAACCGCAATCTACAAATACGATCCAGCATGAACCGCAATCTACAAATACGATCCTGCCTGAATCGCAACCTACAAATCCATCGGGATCTCAAATTCCTCAAATACTGACAGGGAGAAATATCAGAATCCGAAGAACCATGCTCCAAAATGATATGATTGCAAAATTTAAGGATCCGGCAATTATCGAGCAGACTGTTACATTTACATTTGTGGACGAACGGGGCATTGATGTGCAGGGTGTTTCTAGAGACGCATATACGTGTTTTTGGGAAAACTTTATTGGTTCATCGACAAAAGGAGAACAAGAACGTATTCCAACTATTATGCCAAAATTTCAAAAAGAAGATTGGGCAGCAATAGGACGGATACTCGTGAAGGGATTTTGTGATCAGGGAGTTTTTCCAATACAAATTTCACGGGCGTTTTTTATCACTATGCTCTATGGCGAGCAAGTAGTCTCACAAGAACTCCTTGTCGACTCCTTTAAAAGGTATGTGACGGATCAAGAACGCATTGTTGTAGAAAAAGCTTTGGAAGGCGTTCTTGAAGAAGACGACGACAAAGAGGACTTTTATGACTTGCTGGGTCGTATGGACTGCTCTGCTGTACCAAGTGCAAATACCAAAGACGTCATCATGCAGATAGCTCACACAGAACTGATACAGCAAGGGAAGTATGCTCTGGATGTAATAGCATCAGTAGCAAAAAATAGGCTGTTGGCAAATTTGCCTACACTGGAAAGTTTATTACGTCTCTACAAAGACAAAGAACCAGAGCGTCGAAAAGTCATAAAATTACTAAACGTCGAACCCTCCAATACGCAGGAAAACACTATATTGAACTATCTGAAACAACTTATCAGGGGATTTACTCCCGACTTACTGGCAAAATTTTTGCATTTTGTCACTGGGGCGCGAGTCATCTGTGTAGACGATATCAAAATTACCTTTAATGAGACTGTGGGTTTAGCCAGAGTCCCAATTGCTCGAACGTGTGGGCCAGTATTGGAGCTACCTGTTTCCTATTCGTCATTCACGGAATTCAGACAAGAGTTTCTGAACGTCTTGTCTAGCCACTCAAGCCAGAGGTTCGACATTGACTAGAATATTTGTTCAGGCTTGGCTGGGTGTTAAGACACACACGTAACGCACAGACCCTATTGTTTACCAGACCTTCTTGACTTGTGTGATGTGTGTCACAAACTCAAAAATGACAGGTGATAAATAATCATCAATCATTTAAAGCAAATTCATTGGTTGGATTACTTAACATAGTTTTTAGCATAGTGAAGATTGTTCTAGCCTGATCCGAACATTGGTTTAACTCCTCCTGACTGTCAAGTCTCTTGTACTAATCTCACTCAGTTTTCATCTGTTCGTTATTATATATGACGTGCATTCATGCATATACCACATTTTTCTTCCACAATTGCTGCTGTCTGTTGATTTTCGTTTTTGTTGGGAAAACTTGAAAATTCCCATTCATTCTCATCCGCACTTTTCAGCTTTGAATCTTCAGATAATGTAATAAACATTAACACAGTGAATATCGCCTTTGTTTTATTTGCTTAGCTAGAAAACATCAGCTTTAATGTAACAATTGAAAAAAAAAAAAAATTGATCGATTGTATTAAAATTGCGTGCCAGATTACATACTAGTCAGGTAGCCACCAACACATCCCTGACAAATTAATGTCGTCAAAACTGATTCAACGTCACCCAAAACATTTTGCTTCTTGAAAGATTAGGCCTCTTTGTGGCAACAACTGTTAACGATATACATCAATGCAATGAAATAACGTTTACTGGCTTCCTTCATGACAATTCACTAACAATATCTCTGTTAAATTGTTGTGAAAGGAGAATTAAATGCAAAAGTCCATGAATGCTGGTTCACACTGGTTACTTCCCCTCCCTTATACAGATGACGCATCATATAACGGAGAAAAGGCAGGAGACTTGGTGTCTGAACATCAGAAAGACTACGAATCCGAGGAAGGCAAAAATTCACTAGACCAGAGCGAAAACATTCTTTGTCCCAGATGAATAAATCAGCACTTACAGGCCATTCCACACAGTAAAATCATCTCTTTGACAGTGAAAATTTTAATATTTTTGACAGGTGAAATAACTTTTTCAGGCATCTGGTTAACGAATCTAGATGTGCTGCAGTGGTCCAGTACTAAACAGGGATGATTGCGGCCACAGACTCTCACACATCTATGACCAAGTATTAAACAAAACGCAGCCGAATTGACTACACTACATTGTTACCAACTTGTGTACCCTTTTTCTACAATCTGTTTACACAATTTTCGACCTTAGTGAACATAGGATTATAGCACAGTGAAAACGTTGGTCGATTCTTTACAATTTTATACATTCTACACTGGTCATTTGATCCACTCTAATCAGCTACTGGTTGTGTAATAAGAAATTCTATTGTAATGACCTTACCAACCTGAGGACAAATTCAAGTTTCAGAGTTGTAAGGTCAAGGTCAAGGTCTTTTGTGGGGACTAGGAGAGGACGTGCATTGCTTGTTTTATTTCAAAAGTATTTAAAGAACCGCTGTTCAGTAAAAATAAATATCCTGGGCTTAATGGGGATTAAAAAACAAGCTGAAACTAGTAAAAGCCTGTATTAATTGTGAGATGAGACTTTGCTGACTTGAGTGTCTATTTGGTTCATTTATGCATTGTGTATCTTGGCAGACAGTTAATAAATTGTTATTTTCATATTCATTTATTCATGCTGAATTAATGGTGACTGTCCATCTGTGTGCTAAAACTACACATAATTGTCACAGCATTTATACTAATATCACCTATCTATACCTGTCTACACCTACCACCTACTTATATCACCTGTCTACACCTACAACCTACTTATACCACCTGTCTACACCTACAACCTACTTATACCACCTGTCTACACCTACCACCTACTTATATCACCTGTCTACACCTACAACCTACTTATACCACCTGTCTACACCTACAACCTACTTATATCACCTGTCTACACCTACCACCTTCTTATATCACCTGTCTACACCTACCATCTACTTATATCACCTGTCTACACCTACCACCTACTTATATCACCTGTCTACACCTACAACCTACTTATACCACCTGTCTACACCTACCATCTACTTATACCACCTGTCTACACCTACCACCTACTTGTATCACCTGTCTACACCTACAACCTACTTATACCACCTGTCTACACCTACAACCTACTTATACCACCTGTCTACACCTACCATCTACTTATATCACCTGTCTACACCTACCACCTACTTATATTACCTGTCTACACCTACCACCTACTTATATCACCTGTCTACACCTACCACCTGTCTGTGCCTACCAATTTATCTATAGCTTCCCCAAATATAGGTAAGATATTTAATGTTTTAACAGTTTGGTGTTTTATTTCGCTTTACAGCAATAACCTGCTAAGACCACTTTAATTATCTCCCTTGCGGGCTCAAGTTTTATCTTCATTGCACTGTTTTCTGTTTGAAAGCTAAATCTGGTGTACTAGATAAACAAAAGCCATTGACTGACATGAACAGAGAATTCTGACCACTCATGTAGATTGATCACATTAGGAAGGTTCTATTGTGATTCATTGATTGAACATTCTAAGCTGGTTCAATTGCCAATCGATTGAACTCTATAGAGAGGTTCCATTGTGGATTGAAAACTTATAAACAAGGTTCCATTGTTGATTTCATACTGTAAAGAAGTTCCGTTATGGATTTAGAACACTTTAACAAGGTTTCAACGTGGATTGAATACATTAATGATGTTCAATTGTGTATTGAACACTTTAAAAATGTTCCATAGTGGTTTGAACGCCAAGTGAAGTTTTGACAAATCATCTTTCCTTACTTACCATTGGACAGTGAACTCCTTTTCTTTTTAGCTCAAATGATAAACAAAATCAAGCCAATGTAATTTTTTTAAAATAAATATTTTTTATTGAACTATGGAAAATCATCCATAATTTTCTATTTTATTACAAAAGAAAAACTGACCCCACTTTCAACTGATACTTACCAGTAATAAACATGACACAGCATGGTAGAAAATTTCTTACATCTATTGCATTCCGCAATTTCTACCATGGAAAACCCATTTGAGTCTAATATTTCACTGTCCAATTATTACAGAGTAAAGATTTCCATTTCTTGACTGACATAAATAATATTTCTACAGTTCCTTGGGTAAAAACAAATATCTCTGATCAATACCAAACTGGTAAATATTTTTTCTATCGTTTCTTTTTAAAAAAAGACGAGACAGAAATTGAAATAGATTTACCATGTTGATTTCAGTGTTAAATATCAGTTTATTCTGTTATAAATCAGTTGCTTTACTTAACACATACAATATCTTCTCAGCAACTCTCTAAAGAATTAATTAATGTTAATTATATAATAATAATAATAATAAAAAAATGGGGATATTCTTATGTACAAAGGGATATTTCACATTTGAGCTCCAACACTTTCACTCCTTTACTACAAAGATAACTGTGTGAAACTGTCATTTTTTCTGTATACTTCTTTGCTAGACTTGATACTTGAACACTCTGTAGCACCTCAGATTTCTTTCTTTATAAGTTGTCTCTCTTGGACAACTTCTTCAATATCTTATATTTAATTTTTTGTTACTTTCTTGTAAACCAGACTTTGTCTTGAATAATGAACGTATCCAAATATAATATTTCAAGGAAGATACTAATCATATCTAGTTATAATACTGCTTAATAAAGAAAGATTTGATACAAATTAAAATTCTTCTGATTTGCATTAATCTTGATAAAATGATATTGTCTTGAAACATACACATAACAATTAAGTTGAAATGAACAAACTCTTCATCACAGACATAAATACAACTCAAAAGTTATAATGCAAAGATGATGTCAAGATTTTCACATCAAAATGAAAATGTAGATTCACATCCAGGGGATATGAAATGATACTGAGCATGAGAACTCTAAAAATTGAACTGAGTCTTGTGCAATACAAATTGAACATTTTGAATCAAATTTTAAGATAATCAAATACAATATTCAGCAGTAGAATTGGATGAAAATAAATATTTCTTTTAATGGTATGTCATTGATAATAATCATGTAATGTTATATAAAAAAAATTGAAACACAAAACTCCTCCTGGTTGAATGTCTGGCAATAAGTGCCAATATTTTAATGAAAATGACCTTCCTATTTTTCTCATTAAATAGTTGCTGTCCATAGCAACTGGCAAGTGCTTTATAAATAGTCAAGCTAGCACTATCTGGTACCAGAGAATTGATATCCTTCAACATGGGTAACACTGCGTAACAATAGGGGGCTGTCACAATGGATAGACTTTGAATCTTCAACACTCTAATTTTTATTTTTTTTTTTACAAATAATGTACATCTTAAAAGTTTATACACGGTAAAGTGATTTAAATACATAACAATTTCAATAAATTGTGCTTTTATTGTGTGTTTAAGAAAACACACAAAAGTATGCCAGACAAAACACGCCGTAAAACATCACAATCACTCTCATACACTTAAATATTTTCAGTCACACGTCAGCCAATCCTAATAAGTATAAGAAACTTCAGTGACTAGATTCATAAATCACACTAGTATATAACAAACATTTCCATTGGATAAAATATCCATTGTCTCTCTCCTATTTTTCCATTGGATAAAACATTTCCATCACCATCAACTGAAATGTATCTGCTAATTCCATCGATAAGCATGTTAACAATTTCAAAAAGATACATTTTTTTTAAAACATTACAGATATCATTTAATAACCTTGAATTTTTATCCACATTTAAATTCTATCCACAGAATATGTCAATTTCAATCAATCTGATTGGTTGCTTTTAATCTCTTAATTTTAATTGGATTAAAATGTATTGCTTATTGCCTTTCCCTTGACATCCAGCAAACAACATTTTATTCCAATTTCCACGCCCACATGTAACAAATAAATGGTTGCCATGGAAACTGATCCTTTTCCTTTTTTAAATCAATGAACTAGCATGATCATTAAATGGAAAAATGCAAAAATCTTTTAATAAAATGTTTCAACAAAAACATATACTTAATTTATTTTAAAAATTTCTGGTTTGATTATATTTGAAATTTCCTGAAATCTGTCAGCAGTATTAAGATCATTGTGGTTTGAATTTTCTTTGATCTGTGAAGGTACAAGTTAAAACAAAAACCAAACTTAAAAGATATAAGAAAAAATAACACTGTTTGATTTACTAGAGCGTTCCCAATACCACACAGTATATAACACAGTAAATAAGCTTGAGAATACAGCCATTAAAACCGCTCCATATGCATGCCACATCACCACTAAAGATAAAATCTGGACCATCTAGATCTGCATCAATTCACACTACTAGTCCACAAAGGGTGACATGTATTGGTCTATGATAGTGAAGTTCAAACTGCTTTTATAAGTCTATCAAGAATTATGATTAAAAAGAAAAAAAAATGAAATTTATTGGTCCAAAGTTATGACCAGAACAGTTGCAGTGGCTGTTAAGCCCCCCTTGTAGGAAAATTCCAAAAAAGGAATTCGAAATCAGCTGTTGATGAAACAGGTGCTGTATCACAAATAGAAAAAACATTTAAAAAAAAAAGAAGCATATTGCACGTTTAGGGCCATAACATTCTGACCCTGATAAAGCATATTGCACAAATGAGAACCCAATCAAGACTTGTTTAACACTCAGCTTGACAGGCCCTGATTAAGCATATACAAACATCAAACCTTCAACCTGACATTGGCATTAAATTGCTGTTACCGTAAGCGATCGAATAAAAGGGAAGATCCATATCTGTTGATTAATCAGTTTCTGTAATACATTCTAAATTCCTTTTATTCTTAAAATACTTCCCACATATTTCTTCATTCATTTTAAACGTAAAATCTTTGACAAAATATTTCAAGTTTGCTTATCGATATTTTGCGAAGTATTATTTCATTTCAATTGTTTGTATAAATTTGATATTGATATGACTGACCAATCAACAGATACTCGGCTATACAATGTTGATAGCGGACAATAATTGCGAAGGCCGTGTGATCATACAAATGCTGTGCACAAATCGGGTAGACAATATCGAATTCAATATTGAGAATATGGTGGGAAAAGATGACAACATTCGTACACGATATCGTAACTTCTTTTGCAACATGGATGTTTGATAATGTTTAGTCTATTTATATCTACAGCCTAACTATTTTCTCACCTTCAGCCTATGAATGTCTTTCACCTTCTGCTTCGAAATACGAAGATGATGTAAACCTCCACTAAAGGGGCTCTAAAGCTCTTAAACAAACACACCAAGGTATCAGGGTCAAGGTCATGAAGAGTTCATTGAACAGCTCATACATATTCATGAACTAAACATATATTAACCTAACCTTTACACCCAATACATTGGGTCAAAGGTTAACCTGATTGTAGGCAATTCCTAAGTAACACTTATTTATGTAAAAGCAGTTATTCTGGTTATGAAATGGACATGTAGGATATGACAATACTTTCACTCCATGACATTTGAACTTTGATATAAATTTTCCTGGTAAACTGTTTCCGATTAATTCATGAACTGGTTATTTTTTGGACTAGAACCATGCTATATACTTCTGTTCTTATGCCTCGTAGCATTGACCAATGCAATGAAATGTTTCTTTCAGGCAAACAGTCTTGACCCTCAGTTATATTCTCTCTCATTTGAGATAAGCTCTTTCATTTGTACACTGAGTTATGTCCCTTAGAACATTCTGAATTATGTCCCTTGGCCCACTTTATGTCCGAGATTCACGCGTCTCCGTCCTGATTGAGTTGCTGTGGAGGGACCTGTCACACAGAGAGACATCTTTATCGGAACCACTCACAAAGGTCAAACTTGTATTTAACGATTGCTTATAAAAATCAGAATAACAATGGATTCATATCCGAGTCTGATCAAAAACATTTGATAACTTCTAGCTAAGATCACTTTATATAATTAGTAAAAATATATCGATATTGTCCAATATGATAAGTTTGTTAATTAAACATGACAGAACTGTTTGCTGTCCCTGGTTTTTTCTATACTGTGGCAACAGTTCTTTAATAACATTGTTTAATTTAAACATATTTCTTCCTGTCTAGGTAATCTACTTAAATGGATCGCCACTTTAATATGATATCAACATAATTTTACAACATTTATGGTAGGACAGCACACCACCCATGCAAGGGAGACAATCAATCATGCCATATCACTTTTAGGTATCACTACACAAATGAAAAGAAAAATTTAAAAATTGCACGCAACAAAAGCAACCAACATCATACAGTAAACTAATCAGAAAAAACATCAATAATTCAAAACGTAAACAAAGAAAAAAAATATACTTTATTAATGACATCAAAGGTGTTCTAATATTCTTGTGAAGTCAGCATATCTAAGGAATATTTCAGTGAAGTTAACAGTTAAAACAAAAAATGTAAAATAACTTCAAGAATTAATTACAACAAACAGTTTTGGATTCATACAAGAATTTAAAAGATTTCCCTCAATATAGAATACTGGAACACCTTGAAGTCATTATTGTAGGCTATCTGTTAGACATTTAATGCCTAATTCAGACATAACTACACAAAACTCCTATCACTGGATTTCAGCATCCTCTTCTTCAAGAAGTAAAACACACTGTAATGATAAAATGTCATATGCCAACTTATGACGTCATTGCATGCTTCCATTTTGGCCTTGGAGAGAATATCACGTAATAAGTTGATAAGATGTCTAAGATTAGCACCATGTTAAAGTAGTTATGACAAAAGGCGGCTACCGACGGATTGTTATAAACAGGACAATGCAGGGATGTCAGGTAGAGTTATGATTGGTCGGTAGGAATCACATGACACAGTAACAATGTCACACATGACGTGGCATTCACAGAGCGGACTCGACACTTGACGTGGAAATGTCGTGGCTACTAAAGCTGTCCAGACTTGTCGAGTCACTATCCTGGCTTTGAGCGCTGCTCGAACCATTAGCAGCTTCCTGCAGGCGCATGATCATGTTAAGCTGAAATAAGGGGAGGTAATTATGCACTTTAGCCAGCATTCTTAGTGTGAGTTGGACAATCTGATGAAATTCCATTTAAAAGTGGTTTTAGATGAAACTCCTTGCCAATGTAAAATTTTCTTGTCTACTTTTAATTTTTTTAAAAAATGTATTTGAATAAATATATGTTAAAGGTTTTATTCCTTCCTAAATCTATTTTGAATTCAATCAGGATGGTTTATTTAATCATATCTATAACTATTTTGTCAAGATATAGATTTCATTTGATAAGTGCAACTTCTTAAACCATTATCTTTTCAAAAGGAGTAAAAATTGAAAGTATTTGACTTGCTTAAATATTTTAATAGATACTCGTTTTAGTTAGGTGAGTAGAAACACAATATAATTTACATTTAAACAAAACAAATTCCACTTGATAACAAAACATTGAATATTAAGTAGATGTTAATTTATGTGTAATTTGACAGTTGCTAAGTTTACAGACTTTGACCAGGACAAAGCAACACTATTTGACATATAAGTTAATTTTGTGTGTGCAAATTTATCTGAATAAATCTGTGAATTAGCATATATTGTTACATGATTATAGAATATACATCTCTAGGAAAAGTGACGGTGAATATTTTAACTGACTGTATATGTTTACTTAGATATTTATTATTTAAACGACAAACTGTTGATTTCTTCAGTTATTCATTTTGTTTCACGGTATTTCATCTTGACTAGGATAGTATGAATGAATTGGCATGCATAGCCTTGTGGAACTGGGATCAAGGGCAATAACTCTGTAACAGGAAGGCTACATAGGAAACACATTGGGGTTGATGGGAATATGCAAGAGTTATCTTCCTACAATTTAAACATATTTCCTCTGATAATGAATTCACAATGAATCCTTGACAGCCTAAATAATAAAATATTGAATGCACGAACAATGTCAAGTTTGACATAGAAATGTTTTCCATATTATAATACTGTTACTTGCCATGTTTTTATAGATTTCTAACTCTGGTGAATACTAGCTGCATTACACCTCTCAGCTAAATAGAACTTCTCTTTAGATGGTGGGTTAAGTGTCAGACTAGTAAGCCAGAGGTCCTGAGTTCGAATTTTAGCAGAGGCTTTGAAGTATATAACGACCTCTGTTACATATTTTTGATTTTTTTTTTCCATTTCTTGTTGTCTTTAAGGAACAAAATCATACATCTCAAGGATTCATTATTTGTAACCCAATGTCTGTTTATCTGTTTATATCAAATAATCTGGTTTCTTTTGGTTATATTGAAAATGTCTTACAATTTTTTTTTTAAATAACCCCTTCTTAATGATGAAATAAAGATTTCTTCTTATCATTACACTGTCTGAATCATGTTAATCTTTAAAGTTGTTGAAAATTTTCCAGGATAAATTGAGAAAATTGATATTAAAATTTGTTTGATCCACTGACATTGGGTTTCATACCTACACGATGCAATCCATTCTATTTTTAGCACAAACATTTAGAATTCTATAAATAACTATCTAATAAATTCTAAACATCGAAAACAAAAATTTGCCAAAAACAGATCATGCTGATCATGCAGTCATGCACGATGTAAGTGCAACATCAATTTCTCAACTAGACGTGAAACAGAACAATACGAAACATTTAGGTGCATGTGTAATTGTTGATGGTGGATTGTGATAACAAGGGAAAACTAGGTGACATAAAAAACACTTGATTAAACTTTAATTAATTGAGACAAAAATAAAAGAAAAATTATAAACGGATCAGTTCTACCAGGACAACAGGGAAAGACAACTCTAACAACGGACGACTCGGAAACAGACAGTCACGTGGGACTACTAAACATCACTGACCAATGGATCTCCGTTTCCTGTTGGCTTCATTTCCAGGGTTTTTGCCTTTTGTGGCTGTGGGCTGTTTCCCGCGGAAATTACCCCCTGTGTGTCGTAACCGACATCCTCCGGACGGATCCGCAGTAAGGCGGGGTCTTCATCTTTAGCAGTGGCCCATGGATAAGTCTCCAGGACCCAGTCTGTGGGGTCCTCCCATGGAGCACGTCGGCCATAAACCTTAAAAATAAATACATGGTCATGGTTAGATGAAAAATTTCAAATTGTATGTAAAAGAGTAATAAATTTGAATACTTTGTCTTATTTTTCCTTTAACTGTTTTGAAATTTTAATATTCAGTTGGATAAAACAGCTAGAGGAACAGTTTACAAAGAAATGCTGTCTTTTCCTCTCTCAGGTACTAGTAGCTTGGCATAGCCCAAAGACAATCTACCCTATTTGGAATTTCCAATATTACATTCCCTCTCAATAATATCCACAATATATACAGTCCCTCCTTTCTGATATTCATAATAACTATAAACTCCTCCCTCAGTAAACCGTTCCCTTTGAAATTAACAGCCCTGAAATCAACAATACCTGTAGCCCCTCCCCCTGTAATATACAATACCTGTGACCCCTTCCCCTGTAATATACAATACCTGTAGCCCCTCCCCCTGTAATATACAATACCTGTAGCCCCTCCCCCTGTAATATACAATACCTGTAGCCCCTCCCTCACTGCCTCCAACATGTACGGTATGATGGAGTAATTCCAAAGGTCTGTGAACCAGATCTTGGAGCCAGGGATCTCCATGGGGCAGGAGAGGAACAGTCTTGGTCCTGGAATTCACACAAATTTTAATCCATTACTACAAGTTTTCTGTATAATGAGTTGGTCAGAAGGTAAGAGTTTAGTGTACAAAGTGAACTCAGACCATACTAGAATGAAAATCCATCAGTGTTAAACAAAACAGAATTAACAAAAACACGACCAATGAAAGTCAATCACTTTTAAGTAAGGAAGGGAAAATGTTAATAAAAAAATAAAGAATTGAATCCAGCAAATAAATTTTATAGAATCTCTCACATGAAAGGAATTTTGTCAGTTCTATAAACCAAACAAAAGAAAGAGAAATTGATCTCCATATATACAGTGTATTAGAATAATCTCTGACCAAAAAAATTAAATCTTTAAATCAATACTCACCTATCGTGACATCAGATGAGCTGTGCGTCTCCAGGAACTTGTTCAGGTGGAGCCAGACTTTCGGGATCCAATCGATGATTTTGTTGAGGTCGTTGTTCCTGATACTTGTTCGTACTTCTGCCTCGACCAACTTCCTTCGGAGATAACGGCCCAGGAAACCTTTGACCGGTTCCATGTGATTGGCACAAAGAACCCAGCGGAAATTGTGGTGGAGCTGTAGGTTGGTAGTGGAACACGTCGCCTGATTCATTGTACCAATGATGTATGGACTGAGAACAAAAGAGTTCATGGTTTTATTTTTTTCATTCAACTTTCATCAAATAAAATAAAAATAGTTTCATAATCAAGATGAAATAATCAAGACATGTAAGACTCTAAATATGACCCTAGTGATATTTCACCCTATGGCATCTCAAAACAAATTCACACGTTATTAAATTCTTCATCAGTTTGATTAAAAACTGCAAACAATAATTTTTTTTTTCTGTCTTTCATATTGTATGTTCACACAATAAATCTATATTAGTTATATTAAATAATCAATTATCTACTGATTAATTTATAAAAGAATTAGAAAATAAGAATTCCTACATTTTCAGTTGTCTTATAAAAATACTGCCACGACAATGAGGCTCTTCCATAACATCAAAGGTTATGTAAAATATTGTTATGAAAGCACAAAATTAAATTCTGTAAGCCTCACCATTTCTGGTACTTGACGGAGAGAAAGCCATTGAAGACCTCCCCAAGAGAACCAACATGATGGAGGTTATCAAGAATAATGACGCTCGGCAATTCTCCCACGCTAGAATTCTCACACTGGTCAGCGATGTTAGAGAGGTACTGCCTTAGTTCCTTGGCAGACTTGTGGTCGACGTTGAAGGTTGCGACTGAACCAGCAGTCAGTTCCTTCCCAGACCTGAGGTACAAAACAAACATGTTCCGAGTCCGAGGCTTTTACTCTCAGTATAGCAAAGGTCTCACTCTACCCATCAATAAGAATTGTGGAAAACTTGCCAACCCCTTTCCCTTCCCTGAAGTGGGAAATGACTAATAGTTCTTTCAGAATGAAAATGAGTTGGCTGGATAAATGAAGCTAAATTGTAGTTGGGAAAATTAAGCCATATTTATACAGTTTTTTCCTTTTTTTTTTTCAACAGTACATTTGTTTTACATGAAACAGCAAGATCACACATATAGACACAGAAATTAGCATCACATCAATGTCGACTGATGTTACTGAAAAACATTGAAACTTTCTGATCTCTATCTTAATAAAACAGATTAAATGAATCATTAATCTGTTATTTATAAACAATCTCACCTGAGTACCAGGTGTTCCGCCAGTTTCTGTGCCAGGTATGTCTTTCCGGTTCCACTCGGCCCACAAAGAATGATTCGGCGGTGTTCCAGGAGCAGTGACACATACCTCTGTACAATAGACTTCGGGATTAATGTCTCAAATGCTAAGGAGTCCACGCTGTTCTGTTTTGTACCTGGAAACAAAGGTCAACCCAGGTCAAGTAAACAGAGGAACATCATTGTTGGAAAATAAAAAAAATTGAAAATTGTTCATTCACTCAATAATTTTTCAGCATTTTTAGTTTTTGCAATTATACCTTTGAGACATATTCCTATTTGCATTGTGTCTCCGACCAGGTAGCCCACGGGTAATAATTCTGGTAAATCAGCATTTTTGGTTCGGATTATCTCCCCTATATGGTACATACAAACACTCTCTGCACTCAAACCTAAGTTTGTAACAGGATCTACCCGTAACACATACTCCTGAAAAAGAAATAATTGAAATATGAAACATTATATTTTGAAATGAAAATTCAAAACAAATTTAGAATTATCATCCAATATTCTCTCATGAACATGTGATGCAAAAACCCTTGGCTTTATATGGCAAGCACCATTCCTTATTTTCAAAAGAACGTCAACAAAATTAAAATCAAATACATGATGTTTCCTTGAATGATACATTATACACAAAGACAAAAATATCTTAAATCCAACCAGTACTGATGATATTGACCTGATACAAATTAAGGTTGATAAATATTTGCGTTGACCTCGACAGAGGATAATAAATGTACAGTAACTACATTAACACTGAAATAATCAGTGTTTATCTTTTATTTACCTTTAATATCTTTCTAACGATGTTGTCTAGAATATCCCATTTTGTCTTTCCACTGACCGATAATGAACCAATCAATACTTCTGCAGGTTTCTGGAAAAAAAAAAAATAAAATAAAATAAATAAATACAGAATACACAAAAGACTTATATTATGCTCAAAAACAAGACAGAAGTAAGAACTGATGTTTTTGCATTTTTGATGGATATTTTTTCTCCTCTCACACTAAAGAAGATTTCTAGTCAGAAAGCCGTTGGGATCCATACGGCTGACTTAACTGAATTCAAAAAATCTGTAAAACCATTTATATGAGAGATGATAAATTGTAAGTAGAAATGTCTGTGTGTGAGTAGCAGTCTGCAGTGTATCCCAGACATGCATAAAAGTCATCACTGAAATCACATCTATCTGTGGTGTCATCTTTATCGTCTTAATATTTCAAGAATTATGGGAAATTTGAATATGAAAAGACCCCGATATTTTTTAACTTAGATAACACAGTATATGATATCACAATAGCAAAAGCAATATCACATCAACAATATTGAAATAAATATACGCATTGACTGAGAGAAATTACCTCCACTCCCATTCGCATCGGGTCAGGATTTGAGCCAAGATACACCATAATAGTAACCCTCTTGCCCTCTCGGTCCGGAGTCTCTGCTAGCAACATTTCTGTAAACAAATTAGTAAAATAAAACCCTCATAGCTAAATCCCCTTATAAATTCAGTCATGTTAAGACTCGGGGGAAAAAAATTATCTCATTTTCAGAATCTATATATTTGTTAGAATTTGATAACATTCAAATTTTTCCCCTACAGCCACAAGGACGATGGACAGTAGTTTTTGCCAATATCTTAATCAATGTTATAATATTTAACATTTTTTCCATTAATTACAATTGTAGCTAATTGAACAATTATTATCAATACAAAGGTATATATACCTAAACTAGGCTGTTCTTGCATGCTCAGCGACCTTTCAAGTGTATCACTGTTACTTCCTGCTCGTGTGTGGGCTAGGGAATTCTGGGATGTGTTCAAATTTCTTGCAGACATCATTCGTTGTAATCTATCATTATCCGCTTTCAAGGCACCCATTTCAGACTGCGAAAAAGAAGAAGAAATATATAAAACTTGAAATCAATGTATAAAATAGCTCTATAGTTCCACATTACACGAGACAATTAAAACACCAACACCATTTCTGTTGTATTTCAAACCGAATTTATTTTCAAGTTGGACTTAAAACGGAGGATGCTATGATAAAACTCCATTCCCCACTGCAGACAACCCTCAATTTAAACTTCTTGGTCATCCATCAGTATATATAAGCTGTCTTTAACAAGCTAAGGTGCACAATTAGTTCCACTGGGGTGTTCACTTTCTTCTGGCAACAGACGTAAACCCAATAAAATTTACATAAACTCTTCATCACATTACACTCCCTACCGCCTTAGTTGGCTTTCTAGGACCATTGGAGACTTAAATAGAAGCATTTGTTGTGACGAGGGTGCTGATATGGACAGACGAATGTCTTGTGCGAAACATCCCCTACCATGATTGCGAGTCTGCCGTATTTATGTATATAGACTGAAGTCAGCTCACCCTCGTCCTAACTTTGCCACCAAATCACTGAATTGCCACTGGTTTCTATTGGAGCTGCCTACATAGTTATATTCTATATCTTGTCTATGGACATAGATGAGCCACTAACATAAACAAAACGGCCAAGTTAAACTGTTGATATATCAATGCAACCAAGTATATACGATGTTCTGACAACATAAATTCAACTGCTCTTTCCAAATAGAATCGATGACATGTGTAGTTTTCTAGAGGAAAGTGCCAACACAATTGTAGATAAGTGTTGTTGGAGTGTACTAGTTAATATCTTCCACAAGACACCCTAAATATTGGTAATATTGCCAGATCAAAATACTATTTACAAAATCCTGTATGGTGTTGAACATTTTCCCCTTCAGGCAAAACCTGAGTCATTCACCATAATGATGTCCTTATTTCTCAACAAAATTTTACCTTCATTTTTGTCATTGTTTCGCGCAGTTGTTCCAACTGGTGAGCAGACGACAGCGCCTCCAGTCGGATATCTGTCAGTTTCATGTCTTTATCACGTAACTGTTTTCTTAATTCTAATACTGATCCCATATCTTCTGCCTCGTACAATCTGTGTTGATAAAAAACAACAACATTAGTACAGATACAAATACGATGAACACATCCTTTGTATAGTAACTATCACCTATATCACTACCACAACATCACTGTCATCCTTTGTATAGTAACTATCACCTATATCACTACCACAGCATCACTGTCATCCTTTGTATAGTAACTATCACCTATATCACTACCACAGCATCACTGTCATCCTTTGTATAGTAACTATCACCTATATCACTACCACAGCATCACTGTCATCTTTTGTATAGTAACTATCACCTATATCACTACCACAGCATCACTGTCATCCTTTGTATAGTAACTATCACCTATATCACTACCACAGCATCACTGTCATCCTTTGTATAGTAACTATCACCTATATCACTACCACTAACTATCACCTATATCACTACCACAGCATCACTGTCATCCTTTGTATAGTAACTATCACCTATATCACTACCACAGCATCACTGTCATCCTTTGTATAGTAACTATCACCTATATCACTACCACTAACTATCACCTATATCACTACCACAGCATCACTGTCATCCTTTGTATAGTAACTATCACCTATATCACTACCACTAACTATCACCTATATCACTACCACAGCATCACTGTCATCCTTTGTATAGTAACTATCACCTATATCACTACCACAGCATCACTGTCATCCTTTGTATAGTAACTATCACCTATATCACTACCACTAACTATCACCTATATCACTACCACAGCATCACTGTCATCCTTTGTATAGTAACTATCACCTATATCACTACCACAGCATCACTGTCATCCTTTGTATAGTAACTATCACCTATATCACTACCACAGCATCACTGTCATCCTTTGTATAGTAACTATCACCTATATCACTACCACAGCATCACTGTCATCCTTTGTATAGTAACTATCACCTATATCACTACCACAGCATCACTGTCATCCTTTGTATAGTAACTATCACCTATATCACTACCACAGCATCACTGTCATCCTTTGTATAGTAACTATCACCTATATCACTACCACAGCATCACTGTCATCCTTTGTATAGTAACTATCACCTATATCACTACCACAGCATCACTGTCATCCTTTGTATAGTAACTATCACCTATATCACTACCACAACATCACTGTCATCCTTTGTATAGTAACTATCACCTATATCACTACCACAACATCACTGTCATCCTTTGTATAGTAACTATCACCTATATCACTACCACAGCATCACTGTCATCTTATTTGAGGACAGCTTTGTTCGTTTATATTTTATTGAAATGCAAGCAATTGATAAATGTGCCATGAAGTTACTAGAATTCCTGTGAAAAACAGCACAAATTGTAATGAGTTTGTGAAGTAACCATTTATATTTGGAACATTCCACATTTTTTGTTTACTAAAGGTTTCCATCATTTAATGGTGGATGATTCCATTACAAATTTGGTATGAAAACAGGCTATCCAGGAGAGCACCTGTTTACAAAGACCATCTGTGTTAAGTGACCATCTGTTTAGAGCATGTGTATAATGACCACTGTGTACAAAGACCTGTGTATAATGACCAATGTGTACAGAGACCTGTGTATAATGACCACTGTGTACAAAGACCTGTGTATAGAGACCACTTGTTTGTAATGACAACCTCTCAATCAGACAATGTTTTACTCTCTATATTGGGCAGTCTCTGTAGACAGGTTTTCCTTTATTTGTTATTCCTGAGGAATACATACGCTGACGAGGAGTGGGATCCCTTAATGAGTCCAGAGCCATTAGGCATGTGGACCTGCAACAATGGAGAGTTTGGAGCAGACATATTTGAACGGAAACTTGTGCTATCCAGTTCACAATCAGACATGGAACCGTTCCGATTCTTCTTCCGTGAAAATGCTTTACTGAATGAACTCCGTAACTGTAAATGAAACAAGAAGTCATTTCATCTCTTCTATCTGCGAAATATATACTTACAATGTTGTCAGTTTTCATTTTCAGTATATACATACTATAGGCATAGATATATGGGCTACCTAATGAACACTGTAAAATTTAGAAACTCATTTACATTTTTTAAAAAGAAAATTTACTTATCTTCTTATACATCACTGAGTATATTTTATGAAAATTAATTCCTTATATGGAAAGTAGTAGATCAGATTATGGCATAAATTCTAAGAATAAAAAGTTTCAGTGTTTATAGGTTGTAATGTTTACTATTATTGATTTTCAGCAATGAAAAGTCATTGTTTTGTGACAAAACCCCAGTGAACATCAGTTTTACGTAACAATGGGCCTCATTGATTTCTCTGTGAGCTAGATTGTAAACAATCTTAAAACACATGTATCCTGACACAGGATAAAAATCTTCATAAGGGTTTCAACTGGTAGAATATTGATTTTTTTTTCTTAATTCTATCTTTTGTTAAATGACAAAGCAAGGTTGTACAAGAGATTTGATTAATTTTTCTTTCCATAAAAAGACCATCTTTCACATGAAGGACAGACTGATGGCACCAACCTATAACATAGAAAAATGCTTTAAACTTGATGAACTTACAGTCTTTATCTACAGAATGCCATTTTCTCATCTGCATGTTTTGTGTATCTTATCTTCCTTGCAATAAGCCAATTGGACTATTTTCCCTTACTCATAAGCAGAGGAGTGGGCTTAGTACAGACACAGCATTTCTCTATTATTCTGAACAGCAATATTTGTGGGTGGGCTTATTACAGGATGACGAAACAGTATTTGTTTATATTTTATCGAACAGCAATATCTGTAGGTGGGCTTACCACAGGATGACAAAACAGCATTTGTTTATATTTTTACTGAAGAGAAATATTTGTAGGTGGGCTTATTACAGGATGACGAAACAGCTTTTGTTTATATCTTATCTGATACTATGATAAATGTTAATACCCTTCATTGACTTGTGAGCATGTAATATCACCTCAGGACTGACAATGCTAAATCTATAGATTTCATAACACTTTTTCTTTTATGCTTTTAGAGATCTACCTAACTGATAATATTTTTTCAGTTTTCAAAAACCATTTTAATTCCTGCTTTACTTACTGATATTTAAAGAAAGATGTCATAATTTTAAAATAAAAATCATGAGAAGGTCTTTATTATAATGATAAACTTGCTCAGAAACTGCAGGGGCCGATGGAACAACTTACCCATCCTTTCTTTTTCTTTTTCTTGCCCACGTCTCCGTCTGTGGCAGCGGACTGTTGGCTTGTCAAACTACAGGCACTAGACATACTATTTATACTTGAAACACTATCAGTGGACATCTGTCTCGTCATGCGACCTTCTGAAAGTGGATGAAGACCAAAAAATATTACTGTCAAAAAATCAGTAAGTGGATATGTTTTTCTGTTTTGAAAATGAAAAATGTCTGTCAGCTTTCTTGACAGATAGAAATTAACAGCAAATTCAAAGTCAAGATTAAAGCTATGGGGCAAGTGCACCTCCCCATCTAGATTTTGACTTTTCTTTCAATCGCTCTGGTTTTTCCTCAGTTGTCTTTGAGACTCAAGAGTCAGGCCCTTAGCATCACAGACAAGTCACAGAAGAAAGAAACAGCTGTATGATGTAGTTTATTTCATTGCTTGGCTCTACTGTATCTCACTCTAAATTTGTATTTAAAGGTGCTATTTACTTGTGTGCCTTTTGCATAATCTCAAATATTAAGGCAAAATAGTGTTCACTTGTTATAGGAAGACATTTATCAACGGTTTCTGTCTATTTTTAGCAACATAAGATGACCTTGACCCTATCAATAGACTTTCTGACCTTGAGAATGACCTTGTATTACAGATATGTCACAGTGGAAGAGCATCAATCAGACTTTATCTCGATTTCATCTCACCACAATCAAAACAAAATTTGTGAAATAAATGGACTAAAATTTACAATCTATAGCATCAGCACTTGCAGGCAGGGATTAGTCATAAATAGGCTGAAGAGAAAATATAATCAAAATGATACATATCTGAAATTTTCGGAGATTTAGTGAAATTATCCCATACATAAATAGCTATTTGTACAAAAACTGGGTTTCGTCAATATTAAAAAAAAATCCATATCTATGTCTCGTTCAAACTTCATGTGATAAAGATTCTCCATCTCATACAATTATGTTCAATTCTCGAATATCACAGAGAGAAATGAATTGGGGACAGAAGCAAGATGTGAGTAGTAGAGAAACTGAAATATCATTTGTGTGAGTCACCCCTTGGTTACCAATTATATATGTGAGAGCATGTCAGAAAAGATTGCGTTGCATGCCGGAAAAAAAATTACCACGAAAACAAAGATGGATCTCTGTGTTTTAAGTGCTCCAAGCAATGAATGACACGGAACAATGGAATGCCACCGAGATTTCCATCCCTTGTAAAATTTGTCTTCTGTGAACTTTTAAGAAACTGTTTATATTGATGCCGATATACGGGAGTATTTTTTTAAAAACACTTTTTATCTTTTTGGAGATCATAATATATGTCTCCAGATCCCACGGCCAAAATTATCAAAATTGTGTCAAAATTTATCAATAATGAATAACAATGCTAAATAATCTATGATTTTTGAAATTAATGAAAGAAAAAAATTTTCAAAATGTTGATAAGATTTGTTTTCAAAATTTCCAAATTTCATCCAATAGTGAAACTATTATTATAAAAGTATGAAAACAAAAAAATCTGTAATGAAAATTTATACATCTAAACAAAACATTTTGCGAAATATTAATTTTGTTTTGAAATTGAAAAAAAGAAAAGAATAAGAGATTATTGTGTTGTAAAAAGAAAACCAAAAGTTGATAATATAAACCAATTCCTCTTGTATATTTACCAAGGGGCATGGGCAGCGTGTGGAAGGCGCGGCCGGGGGTGTGGTGTGGCGAGGGTTGATGGTGAGGACTACAGTTCGCGACCATACCCGGCGATGTGTGTCGGCGACCAGCATTGGGACTGATGATCGGATCTGGGATATTAAGGCCACTTTGTCGTTTCAACGCCTCAATAGTAACACGAAGTTCATTTAACTCGGAGTCCTGCAAAAATGAAATGGCAAAAAGATGATTACCATGCTATAATTAATTTTGTATAGAGAAAGATCTTCGTGAAAATATGATTATATATATACCCAGTAAATCCAATGCTGTTACCCTTATCAAGAGCAACCAGTGCACAAATCAATTTAAAAAAAAAAGAAACAAAAAAAAATATTTTAAGTATTCAGATATATTTTTAGTGAAATTAAATGTATACTCAAAATATATCCCCTTTCACAGAAAATCTATCTCCTCCCTATTTCTTTGCCAAAAAGAAATTGCCAAAGGCAAATGATGATAATGAACTTTCCAGAAGCAACACAAACTATCATTTATCGGTGAGATATAATTATACTCTTTACTTGTGTTGAATGAAGAGTTCTGCAGATTGTGAGAGTACAGGTTATTGTCTGTTGTGTACACAATCATTCATACTGGCCAGTACTGAGGACATATCTTCAAACTCTACTATACATCCAGAATCAGATAGAAAAGAGTAAAAATATCAAAGTGATGGACAAATAGCTTCCCAAAACATCTTTTACGTTGTCAAAACATAAGAATGTTCACAGCACTGGCAAACTCTTAAAAGTCAGAACATGGAGTGTAACAGGTGAAAATTTGTTAATATTTCCTGTACAAACAAAAAATTAGCGGCACTGATTGTTTTATCAGGCTGAGTTTAAGTCAGCTATAACGCGAGGCGTCGCAACATCCAATATTATACCAACACTACAAAGGTCAGATACCTCTTCCCGATCTCTGTTCAAGCATCCGAAATGTTATGATATTTTTGTTATCATAATTTCTTGGCAAAGACACAGAAGTCACTTGCAACAATTACATCAGGTAAAAAACTTTCTTTCCGTACGAAACACGTTTGCTTGTGTATGTCATCAAACAAACTGGTTTTAGACTGAATAGTGTTTCATGTAAGTAGAATCTCCGTAAGATTGAAACAAATATTAAGACGTCGAAAGAAAACTTGACAGCCATAAGTCTTAATTCTGAATGGTGCACAAACTTGTAATACAGCTCCGAGTGTGAGTTAGCTTGACAGTTCGACACACGTGACTGTGGAATGTAACGAGCAAACAACCAAGACAACGCAAGTTGTAAAAGTCGATCAAATTACGTTTTGTAGATTTTTTCTTCAGCAACAAATTATCATCCTTTGTGAAGTTCTGCATCCAAACTCATGTACTGTTGTTAAAAGTTCTTGGGTTGTCCTACTTCTTTCATGTCGAGTTTTTTTTGTTCTGTTTAGTAGTCCACAAACCTTGACAGGACAAAAACAAGATGGCGGTTTTCTGATCATCAAGTGGCTTGAGCAATTTGTAAATGGAGGTTTTTTTGTGCACCCTGCTGGGGAGAATTGCAGTAAGTTAGGCTCCCAGAGCTGTACAGTAGTTTATTATCACCAAGACAAAAGTAATGAAGATCAGGTGGCTTATAAGAGGTACACAGTTGGCCAGATAAATACTGTGAAATTTGTAATAAAGAGATTTGTGTCAATCACACACAGCAACAGAACAAGCAATATAGCTTCAGACAAAAGAAAAACAATTACCATGTTACAAGGGGGAGGGGAAAGCCCCTCTGTAAGGTAGCAAAGTGTGTATGTATGGTTGTGTGTTTGTAATTTAGGGGGTTGGGGAATCAACTTTATGACAAAATTTCAGTCCTTAGTTAAGAAACAATCCACTACTGTTTTGGGCAAAAAAAATAGAAGTACTAGTTTTATTGCAGAGGAAATACAGAAGAAATGTTGTTTTGCAACTAATACTTCTGTAACGCTTGATTCTAAAGTCACAGGCATTGCAACAATGTAACAAACCTATGCTAAATTAAAACAAAAAAATCCCTGAACAGCCCTTTATCCAAAAAGCCAATATAGAAAATAAAGATACCTTGGAATTCCAGGAAGTTTAGAGTTTTCTTCTGTATATCAGGAATGTACATGTATTAAAATGTTCATTGTCCATTTGGAACACCCATTAACAGTTGAGGTTATGCATTTCTGCGATATGTGCCTGATTTACACTTTGAAGAAATGGGTCAAAACATACCTATATGTGTAATCATTGGCCACAGACAAAACAATTGACAGGTGATGTTTGGAATCAGGTGCAACAAGACGTATAACTCCTGGAAATAATTACCAAGTTCGTGTTTTACAGAAATAAAAACAGTGGCTGTCAAAGTCCTACCTCCTGCTGTCCTGGGTTGGGCGAGAGCCAATATGGTGGTGATACCTGATGGTGTTTTAAGGAAGGGCTGACAGTGCAACATGCATCACACGATTAACCTGCCACCAACGAATCAAATCGGCAGAGAAGGAAATATTACTGGAGATCTCCATAAGTCATACAATCAATGTCTGAACAGGGAAACTGTCATTAATATGTGATTACCAAAAATAATCTGACTTCCTTAATTTCACATGAACGAAAAATAACCCAAAGAATTTTTATCCATATTTCAAACTGTGTTTGGTTCTTAAAATTGCAGCAAACCTTTTAATCGTCGTTCAAACAAACCCTAATTTGATTTTAAAATCTTCAATAACCACACAACACATCTAATTCCTTTATAATCTTGGGCGAAACTTGCTCTCCCAAAAACTCCAAACTTCTCCAAAATGACATGAAGGTACTGGCTCTCCTTGCCTGAAACTTTTTTTTTATGAATGTCCCTGTTCCCTTGCATCCAAGAAATTGATATAGACAGTAATGGAACACTGAGAGATAAAATATACCAAAGTCATAGCTGCCCTTGCATAAATTTGATAAAATCCCTGAAGAAATGAAACTGCTAAAAATATGACATTGATATGTGATGTGCTTGTGTACCACTTTATATGTCTTCTTATAAAATAGCAGGGCATTAAAATCCTGTTAATATTTCATGAATTTTTTTTTCCATTTTATCATGTTCTGAACAAACAACATGAAGTAATTTGCTCCAGAAATTAAAAACCTATGAAACAATTAACGACAAGCTTGATACAGACTGTAAGATAAACTGGTATTAAACTGTAATTTGTATACAGAAATACTTCTGGTGATGGCTGAATGTCCTGGACAGTTAATTTCTCTACATTTCTGGTCCACCAAACATATTCTGATCAGTCAAGCACTGTGATAAAGTTCTGCACTGACCCTTCTGCCAATCTTATATGGAAACTGCTCCGAAATAGATAGTGGGTGTTTAATGAAATTTTTCGGATCTACTTTTGAACTTGATCACTTCTGTCATAACCATCATAGGATATGTTTTCATGTTGACATGAGTGTACTGACGTCAGTCGATATCAAATTCGCCACAAAATCTGCATCAAACAGACGTTTTATTTGAACAAATGCAATGTATTCTCTTCTTATTGTCTATCTCTTGTGATTCCCATACTTGCAAACTGTCTGAAAGTTTTATGTGAGAAATGGCCCGTTTCAAAATACCACGACTCAGAAAAATGCCTGATTTGACAATTTCATCATATTCTCAGATTTCTTTCTCCATTCTGGTTTTTGAATTCATGAATGATTTATAAGATATCCTATCAAATAAAATATGAAATTGGTCTCCAAACTTGACAGTCTTTCTCTTAAAAAGAGAGGGTTAGGAAATATGAATTTCATACAAATGTCACATTTCCTGAAATTGCTATGTTTACTTGGTAATGTACTTAGGTGTCGTCTGCTAGCTTGTTTCTGCTTAGGTTTCGTTTGACAGCTTGTTTCTGCTTAGGTGTCGTCTGCTAGCTTGTTTCTGCTTAGGTGTCGTCTGCTGGCTTGTTTCTGCTTAGGTGTCGTCTGCTGGCTTGTTTCTGCTTAGGTGTCGTCTGCTGGCTTGTTTCTGCTTAGGTGTCGTCTGCTGGCTTGTTTCTGCTAGCTATCAGTAGCTTTATCCATGAAGCTACACGTTTTCTTCAATCTCAACTCTTACAGTTTTAAACTTTGGAATTAATATAAGTGCAATTTTATTTAACAAGGATGTCATGCATCATTGAATCTAAACGTTATCATAATAAGTCAAATGAAAAATCTATTCAGGATAGGAAAAGTGATTGAAAACTCATGATTTCCCTCAAGATTTTCTGAAATATTTGTGCATAAGTGCACTTAATTTGATACAAAATAAATTTGAAGATTTCAACAACTACAAGCAAAATATATCACTTCAGGTAAATGTATAATGAGTACACAGCTATGAGTTAATAAATAAGATTCCAAGCACTTTGTGGCACCTATAGTCAGAAATTCTCCACTCTGGAACCTTGGTATTTAAATCATTAACAGAACAGCAAATGAAACGGGTAAATAATTATTTCCATAAATTTTATAAATGTTCAATAATAATATTTTTTTACATGGAAAGAACCTAATCTTGATTTATCTCTCTCTTCTGTTTTCTTTCATAATGACTGTACTTTGTTATAGTTGATTTGATGCTAACATCCATTTTGAATGACTACCCTTATATCAGCTTTCTGTATAGATTTTTTACAGTCTCTTAACAATCACAAATCACATAGAAGTTCTGGTGATTTTCACAGCAAACAAAATCAACTTCCGCATGCCTTATTTTATATCCGTTTTCAGTCAGAGTTCCTTCGTCCTTTTCTGACTCGAAATATCTCCCCATAGTCCTGCATATGAGGAAGCTGTCCGAAATTGCAGGAACACAATATCTCATAAACTGAGATATTCCCCCTCCGTTTCCCCTCCTTTATGAATCAATATCCTCCCTGTCTGATGTTTGGAGTCTCCATTTGGTTGACGAATGCCAAACCACACTTTTAGTATGCCCTGCGGAACTGTCCGAGGAATTATCACAAAGTACACTTACGCATAAACACCGCTATTATCCGGATCGTTTTGAAAAGCGAAATTATCTGAATATCCCATATTGATTATTTTTTATTTTTGTTTCCATTACCTAGATCGTGAATCAAAAACAAATTATCATTCAGTGTTAATAATTGACCTCTTAAGTGGCCCGAGGGAGCAGTCATTTGTGAAGTATACCCTTCAGGGAGCAGTCATTTCTGATAATTACCTTGATGTCATAGCTAAATTGCCTTAATTGAGTAAAGTACAATTGATCTTATCAAATAAATACTTGTTGTTATTTTTATATAAGTTGTAATCTTACAGGGACGCAATATATATATATATATATCGTTTGAATGGACAGCTTAACTCATGGCAAACCATGACAAATCTAATACTTTATCTAAATGGGACACCAAGAGAAATAAGATGAACAAGTTTCCTTCCTTCGTAAGTTTAAAACCAAAATTTGTTAAAAAAATAAATTATCTTAAATTACTAGCGGGAATTAAATTGCCAACCACAATGTTTCCAGGTCATGACTTGTCATTATCTCTCTACCTAGGTGGCGATGCCTATCACCTCAATCCTCGATAGACGCGACCTAACGGATATTGATAAATTTCTAAACTGACCTCATTACACCTTTAAATTAAAATGGCGATCAAAATTGCCACCAGGATATTTAAATATCGCATTTAAAGTGTTAAATTTGTTGATCCCCACACCAAAAAGAAAGATTACTCCCACCAGTGCTAAGTTAACACATAATAACGATTGAAGAAGTTACAGGTCATCACAGAAATATTGTAATCCTTGTGTTTTGTGGTAATTAAAACTTTCAGAATAATTATCTCATGGTTGGCAAGAAAATCTCTTTTTTAATAAAGAAAACAATAAAATATATTTCCATTTTTTTTAGCAATTCTTTTAAATCACTTTAAGAAAAACAATTAACACGGTGTATATCTGTACATCCATACAGATTCAAAATCTGATGTAAAAAAATGGTTGTAAATTATTACAACAGAACAATACAAAGATATTTGGGGGATAAACAAAACTTCCATCCTTATTCCCTTTTAAAACCATATTTCTGTTGTTTTGGACATTATAACCATTTCACTTTGAGGTGATAGTCACAGTGACCTCATTTAGTATTATAAATATATTCAACTTTGATCTTGATGTATTCACGGGCATACATAGGAAATATTGAATTTACCTAACCTTTGACATTGAGTTCACAGAAAATGTTGACCTTAACATCTTTTCTTAAACTTTCAACCTTGAAGTCAAAGACAGATGTTTAACCTTTGAATCTAAAACAATATGAAATATTCTACTTACTTCACCTTTGGTCTCAAGGTTATAGAAAATGTTCTACTTATTCATTGTTTGACCTTGTGATCAAAATTAAGCTGACAGTGACAGGTACATCTCACTTTTCAACAAGATTAGGAAAGAACATTTTACCTCTGGGGACAAGATACTTTTAAAACAAGAACAAGGAAAATAGACATTTAGATGTCAAAATCTGACTGCTTGAAATGAACAACTAGGCAGAGTAACTTAAAAAAATATCAGGAAAGAGTCAATCAAATCATCATCCGAAATGTAAAATCCAATCAAAGAGTAACATGATATAAGTATATAGACTAAAATCAACAAAGCAAATAGAGTTGATTATTAACTTTTGTTTAAGCTTAAAAGCAATCTTTAGGAAATTGAATGAAATTTTAATTACACAACTATTGCTTGATATGATTTCTTTCACAAAATCTAATATCACTATATAAGAAATATATGAAAAAAGACATCATTGTTTTGTTTAACAACGATGGTAAATAATTTTGTGTTGTTACACCTAAAACTATTGTAAAGTTATTATCTCCCCTTATCCTTAAAGATTACATCATAAGGTCATCAACTTAAGGTATCAAAATTAATTATGTCTATATATATACATATATATATGTACATATACAACATCCATCAAATTATGGTGAGATCTTACTTTATATAGAATGAAGGAACCCACACATTCCTATCAGGTTAAATCAGGTTTCAGTTTACATACATCAGAAGTCTCAAACAGTTTACAACTTGCGATGTCTATAGATCTACAAACACATTATATTTCTGAAGTCAATATACTGCCAAACACTAGATAAGTTAGATCTTTCAAAGATATGTATAATTCTTCAGTCAAAAAATGGTTACCATAGCTACCAGTGGGGGAGTAAATGTTAGTAGTGCAGCTTACCTTTTGTTCGGCTGTGCAGGTGAGATGCTGGAGCCGATTTGTCATATTGGACAGCGACTGTTCGAAGGCAGCCACCACATGGGCCTGCAAGTAGAATGCGCAAAATACTGTTACTATAAATACGACAGTTACTGATAAACTCCTGAACATCGAAAACTTAAAATCAATTTCCTAGGTGCTCATTTGAATACTCTCTGAGAGCTAATGTTATATTAGTGATGATATCTTTTGACAAGCTCAAAACAAACTACTGCCAAATGCTGGAGTCTAGCCGACCGCAGCATTCTCTAAGCATAGCAGGCGCACAACACAACGTCTTAAAGACTTTTTTTGTTTCATTGACTTTTTCCTCCATGATGTGCCATGTCAAAAGCCATCACAGGAAAATACAACTATTCAGGCCAAAATAATTTCTACTCCAGCCTGTGACGAGCCTTGTCCTATACATGACTATTAATCATTCAATATTCCTGTCTCACTGAGCTGAAAAGCACCAGACATTTTCTGCTGGCATCAAAAGTGGACCATATCAGCTATGTACAAATTTACAATTTTTATCCAGTGTTCCACAACAGGAAATTCAGTATTAACACCAAATTTCCTCTATGCAAGAAAAACTTCTCGAAGCAATCAAATATGTGTTGCTAGGAAACCATTAAAAAATATATGAAAAAGATAGGGGGAGGGGGGAAAGAATATGGCGACTTGGAGTAATCAAAGAAATAGGATATTTGTGTAAATTGTAAGTTATTTATAATTACTGACAGAAAAGATGAAAGTCGACCACACTCAATGAAACAGATATCAGGAATGTTATCGTAAAACTCGTCTATAAACGAAAGCCTCTGTGTGGTGTTTGCTGCCCTCTGTAATCTGTAGAATTCCTACCCAATGTCTAATGCTGAATAATTATTATGTGAAATGCAAGTATGACTTATTGAATAATTTTTGTGTAAGTAATGCTCTGCAATTCATCTGATAGATATATATACCTATAGAATGGTGGGGGAACATATCAGTAATTGGAAACAAATTTGATAGTATCATTTCCAAGCTGTGGTCAATTTGTAAACTTAATGAATATTCATATTAACAAATTGTTTGTCTATTTATAAACCATGATATTCGGTGTTAATGTCTGTCATGTTTAAGAAGATGCATAGGTTTAACTTGGTTAAGATAAAACGATTTGTAAAAATTCCTGATATCAGGAATTCGTTTCAAGACATTTTTTCATGTTTAAGCAAATATTCTGGAATTCTCAGGTACGTGTTCCTGATGCAGAAAAACAATGCATGGTTATCTAAGGCAAGATTTTCAGGCATTAAGTCAGCAGTATGTCAAACTCGGATAGGGCTTTCTGTAAATACCCTTGATAATTTTAGTGCTCCTTTCACACAGACGTGAATCAGTAATTCAGCCAGTCCAATTAATGTACACAAATCTTACAGTTTATGCCTGGCACAATGACCATAGCCCACGGCAATCTAATCTCCAGAACTCTTGTGAATTACAACACTTTCTAGTATTCTTCACAAAATATTCATACATAATCCGGAAAATAAATCAATTCATTTCCGTTCCACTATCAACACTAGAGAGTACCTTGGAGTATTGTTAATTTGTCTGCCATAGCAAGCAATTACACTGGGTAGTCGAGGATATAAGCAACTAAGAGACCGGCTTATTTGTAATTCATAACCCAATACTCTATCCCTGTTTCCGAAGTTGTGCTTCTGACATCACATTCCAATGAGAAATCTCAATTTCGTATTCTCTCCGAACTGTCAAAGAAAATTTCACCATTGTTGTATAATCACGGAGAATCTCAGAAAACACTGTAATCTGTACAGAGAAGAAGAGAAGACAGGATCACAATGCTAATGAGCCATTGAAGTCCTCTGGGATATTTTGTGATATGAGAGACAGCCAGAAAGGGAACAACACTTCTTTGACTGTTCGAAAAGAAACATCGCAAGGGAACTCAGCACAAGACAATGCAAACCAGAAATGGGATTCCATTTGTAAAATCCATTCTGCAAGTCAATTTGAATACATTACAATACTTTCACAGATTTCAACCAATTAAGCCTTCCCTAATTGGCTAAATGCTGATGTGATATTTAAAAAAAAAAAAAAAAACTGAGTTTTTAAACAAGTTCACTCAAGACTATGCAATTTAAATTTAACCCCATTTAGCAATTTGAAGGGGAAAAAAAAGAAAACAAATAGCTATTCTGCATTGGCAAATCAGTTTGTGGTTTTAAACGTTTTAAATCCATTTTCCTCTCTGGTAACAAGCAAGGTTTCTCAAGGATCTTTTCAACTGAACAAAATTTCGACATCACTATTGAAATTCGAGATATTTTGTCTATTACCAAATGTGAAAACACTTTCAAAAGGAAAAGAAAAATGTCAATTTCAATATTATTTTAGTAGTTTATAGATATTAAGCTGTAGTCCATAATCTGAATATTTCTGTTCTTAAATATTTATACTTTTTGAGTGATCATGAATTTATGTCACGGAAACAAATTTTGCAGATTTGAGGAAAAATTAGCATTTTAAATCAATCAAATGCAGAGGTTATCAAATTTTGTAAATCTATTTTTCGATTACAATGAGGTATTATTGATTTTGAGGACAGCCAACGTTTCTTCAATAAAGAATGAGCATTATTAAAACTGGAATGAAAATTAAACCATGTTTTCATTGATTCAACAAAATCATACAAGGTCACACAATGTTTTGAATATTACAGACAAAAATTCACAATCTTGATTTGATGTAGTAATTCTACAATCCATCATCCTCTTTTACCAAGAATCTGTATTCTTTACAAAAACGTAGTATTCTGGGCTTTTGGCCAAAACAACAGAATTTCTGGCTAAAACACAAACTATTTTATCAGTATTCTCTCGAGATTTCACCTATCAAAGTAATAGCCTATATTACAAGTTGGTAGGATCCCTGGCTAAACAAAGGGATTTAATTTGAAGATTCATGTACTACAAGGAGCTACCATCACATCAGAACAGTTAAAGCCCTCAGAGAAGACCCCCTCCACCCATGATTAAGCGGTCTAAGAAATATGGCTTGGATTAAGTAATAATTTCTCTGCCATCTGGAATTACCATCATATCTGTATCGTACAATAAACTCCAGGTGTAAGCTTCTACAGGTAAATATTTACCGTTCGTTTCATTATTGAAAATATTTGATTCCACCAGGGAAACAACAAAGCTTGTAAGGCTTCTCTAGCCAGTCTCTTGAGCTAACAATATCACTTCACTCAATATGAAAAGGTTCAGACAAGTAGAAATTATATGGTTTGGCAATCAGATTTATATTAGATAGTTAATATCTGTTTCCGTCCAAATGACTAAATAATGCAATACAACTCTCCTCCAATTTTGGTGGAGTAGTCCCCATTTTTTAAATCCAAAATCTACCCCCCCAAAAAATAATTTAATGTACCAATGCATTAATATTTTGTTTCTCTAAATTTTGATTCTCTAAAATAAAATAAAATAATTTCCGCAATCAACACATAATAATATTTACATTAATTTATGTTTCGATATGTGGATCTCAAAACCAATCTTTATACCAGTCGACCTTCCACCAGAGTTCTGATTGGGATCACATCTATTGCCTTGGTGGTCATAAACGTCTTGCAGAGACTTTCATCTTCTCTTACTAATCTGTGACAAGTACCTCGCCAGTATTGATTAACTTCCATCTTATCTTTCGAGTATTCTCACAGATTTCTTAACGAGATATGTTAGCCTTTGCTAATATACCACAAGAATTCGGAAAGAGTTGGAAAGAGTCGCCACTTAAACCGATTTGAACTCAACAAGATCAGATAAAAAATTCATAATGATGAATTCTGAGAAACATTAAAGAACCCATCATCCCAACTACTACTATTTACTGAAATGATGATCTTTTACTGAAAAGCACGTAAATTATACAAAGAGTGCTTATATCATCACCATTAGATGAAAAGTGTTCATTTCTAATGTTAATTTCAAGTGTTATCACACTGATTTTACCTAAATCTTGAACCTTATCATTACCCGTACCTTGCTGTAGGCATGATATATATCAAAATCTTATGAGAAATACTTCAAAAGAAGATTCAGAAGCTGAGAATTTCCAGGGATGTTTTACTATAAGAAACACCTCCAATATGGATCATCTTTTGGAAATGACAATATTTTCAAAATTTATAATAAGGTTCAAGTTCATTTTCAGTATAACCCAAAAAGTTCTGTCAAAGTGAACCTATCTTGAATTTCAAATTACGGTACCCCAAATCCCTCCTCAAAGATTTTTGCCCCATCCACCATTCGCCTCTCATACACTTGTTGCAAAGGCAAATTCTCTACAAGGAATACCATATTTAATCACAGTCAATATCAGGCAAACCTACTTTAGAAATAAGATTAAAGTTTGCATGCAAAAGAATTCTGCTGACATAGCATGCTAAGCTAGTGCAGTTTCATTCTGACCTATGACCTCAGATGTTTATGAACTCTGACCTTTGCATGCCATTGATTCGTGGTTGTAGTACAAGTGACCCAGGAATCTTTCTGACATTTATATTTCTGGCTATCTCTCTAGGGTCAATGGTATCTAGTCTACCCACTGATAGCAGATACAAGATGGACAAAATCAGTCATTTGATTGGTGGATGCTGACAAAATCTTCCACCTGATTGGCTACATTAGTTCAATTAGTATTTCAAGATAACCCCAGTGACACCTGGATCAACCTACACATTATACAATGTTCTCAGAGCCTGATAGGGACCATTCTGGTCAGTGACGAAGTCTTAATGGTCCAAAACTACCATGAGTCAGACTCACTTCTGCTCTTGAAGTGAAACAGATAAGACACTAGATAAATTCTAACAAAGCATGACCAGGATGGCCTGCAAGTTGTAGCCATGGGAACAACAAATTGAGCTGAAAATTTTCTCTTTCATCAAAATGGTCTTAATTCCATCGATCTGAATTTCATAGGCTAAAGAGAATTCCACACAGTGAAACCTCTTAACCAGTCAGATGTTGTTATGC